ACACCCCATTTATTCGCAAGATCGAAAGTCATAAAATGGTCAACCAAGCATAAGGGAGTTGGCGAGACGATTGTGCAGAATTCTGCGCTTCACATAAGGTTTGAGGCACGAGTTTCGAGGGAGTCAACGGTTGCTCGGGTTAGTACTCAGTTATATTGGGGGATTGTTGGCATGCGAATAAATGGGGGTGTAATTAAACACGTAACTTCCTAATTTTTAAAGTCTACCAATAAATATTTTTGGAGTAAAAGAATTTTTAGAAAATTTACTTTTTTATTAAAAACTAGCCCCAACGATAAAAGATTAGGAGCTAAATACTCCTCAATTTGATTTAAATGCCAAACATCAATCGGTTCCTCCATAGAGAAATGTTGAAGAGAAGGCGTCAAATAATGGAAATAACGGCCTAAACGTGTTGAAACTTTAATTCCTCTTTCAATGCAAAGTAATTCTAAATATGGAGCAGACCGACGAATTAAAGCACTGAATACTCCTAACTAAAGAAAAGGAAAAAATATTTTAATGGAAGGAATTATTTAAAAAAATTTTTAATTTAAGGGAAATATTCATATTATTAGGTATCCGAATTAAAATCTATACATAGTAGTTATGTATGTGGATAGATATCAACGCCCAACCTCTAAAAGTTCAAACTTTGTACACTTTTTGATTTAAAAATTTTAATTAAAAATAATTATTAACCAGTTATGGTCGGGAATTCAAGACCGAGAGCTCAAAAAACCCGGGAAAATTCCCGACTCGGGAACCGAGACCGAGAGTCTCGACCATCATTATTATTAGAGATCGGTAATTTGCATTTGCAGGATCCTGTATCAGGATTGGGTTTTAAAATTTCGAACAGGATAGGATCCTGCAGGATTAATCATGAAAATCCTGAAAACTGAAAAAAGGCAGGATTTTAGACAGGATCCTGAAAAATTCTGTCCTATCCTGTGCCTATCCCTAATTATTATTAAACAATCTAATTAATTAATTAAAAACAAACAGTTCTTGAAGACCGTTTTTTGTCAAGTAAATTATTACAAAGGAATTTTCTATGTTCATCCACCAAATATTTTTGTGGTGCAAAAACAACTAATTTATATCTACTTTTTTTTAAACTTAATTCTTCAACTGATTTATTAATTAATTCTTTTGTATTTTTAAAATTTTTAAATAAAAGTAAATCTTCATTATCAAATATTAAATCTTTACAATCCAACCAAGCAAAATTCCAACACAAATCTTTCCATTCTTTACATACACGTTCAATTTTAATTTTTTCATTAAAAGTCAGAAAATCGAAAATATATTTCTGGAAAAAATAAATATTCTCAATTTATTTTTTAAAAAATTAAACCAAAATTTCTGGAGGCAAATCTTGAAATTCCATTTTAATATTTTGTAAATTAAATATAAAAATTGGTTAATTTTGTTACGGCTATAGTAAAAGAAATTTATTATTGTGAAATAAAAATTAGGTAAACGTCAATAAATGATAAAGCTTTTATTTTATTATAACGAAGCACCACAGTTTGGCGCGCACGGTTCGGCGCCCGTCGATAATTTTTAAAAAAATAAAAAATTTATTTTGTCCTGTGGTTTGATTTTTGTTCTGATTTTGGGCTGGGTTTATTAGGCAAAATTTCCGGTACCGGTAGTACCGGTTTGCAAATTAGAATTTTCACTAGGTAGCGGGGCCGGACCAGATCCGGCCGGATTATCAGTCATTGAAAACAATATCAGTCATTGCTTTCCCATTTTCCTTGTATTATTTTATAATAAATATTGGCCTTCTTTATTGGCCTTCCAAAATCGGAGCAGCTCAACTGAGTCCTCACGATTGAGTCGGCCTCGTATATCGGGGGTGTTTTCGATTTCGGTTAACCGAAGGCCCCCCCCCCCCTTCCAATATTTTCAAAAGTTTTTGTCCATAACATTTATTGACAGCCTTAACAATAGCTTTGTATCAAATAAAATTCGGGAGATTCTACAGTATGAGATAAAACAACCTCATTCAAATTTACGCCAAATACGATATAAAAAATTTATTTCTCTATCTATTCTTCTTGGGACACGCCCAACTAGGCGCGGGCCAACTAGGCGCGACCGACTAGGCGCGACCGACTAGGCGCCGGCCAACTAGGCGCGAGGCCAACTAGGCGCCGGCCAACTAGGCGCGAACCTTTTTAATTAAATATTCAACAAAATGGCTTCTCCGAATCTCGAAAATAGATCGAGTATGATAATTCCGGACTAGAGTTGTCAGATTCAAACCAAACCGAACCGAAAAACCGGTTCGGTTTATCGTTTCGGTTAACCAAAAGTTTCGTTTCGGTTTGTCGGTTCTGTTAACCGAAGATTTGGTGAAACCGACAACTCTATCCCGGACAAATACAGACGTTATGATGAATCAGAACCTGGAGTTTTCGAGCAGTTTCTTTTAGTAGACCGTGAAGAAGGAGATAATGGTCGTATTCTGGTCTTTGGTCGTGAAAAGTTTCGAGGTTTTTTAATTTTGGAAAATTTATGTATATTTGGAAATTCTTTTTGGAAATTTTCTTTTTTTGGAAATTTTTGGTTTATAATTCAGAATGGTCCCAATTGATGGTCGATGGGACCATTCTAATTGATTATAATCAAAATATTTAATTAAAAAGGTTCGCGCCTAGTTGGCCGGCGCCTAGTTGGCCTCGCGCCTAGTTGGCCGGCGCCTAGTCGGTCGCGCCTAGTCGGTCGCGCCTAGTTGGCCCGCGCCTAGTTGGGCTGTACCCATTCTTCTTTCTATTTCTCTCTGTCTGTCTTCTTCATTTTAAAGTTCTGTCACATTTTCTTTTTTATTGACCGCATTTTCTTTTTTTTTTATTTCAAGTCCTATTCAGACTGCTCTCGAGTTTCTTTCAAAAGTTCTTGATTGATTGAAAACGTATTACCACAGTAAGTACATGTTGCCTGAAACGCGAAGTTTTAATCGAAGAGGATTTTGGATAAAAATTATTTAATCGTTTAATTTAATTTATGAGTTAAATCTGTTAAAATTGAATTTTTAGGGGTTTGGTTAATGTTGTTTAGAAGTATGTTAGGAAGAATATTTTGAAATTGATGAAGATGTAGACGAATTTGTTTAAAGAATTTTTATATTTTAGGTAAAATATTTATAATATTCGTATGTCAAGTCATAGTAGGACTGGTAATCCTAATGGTGAGAAGTCTGGCGTTGGTGCAAATTCTGGTCCTCAACATCGTAAGAGGCAATCACCAAATAATCAAGCAACAATAGGTTTAAACATTTAATTAAATTTACATGCGTGTCCACCTCCGTATATTAAACACCCTGTTATCGTTCATAAATTCGAAATTTGTGGTAATTCCTGGCTAAAGATTAGAATAATCCTCCCCCCGTAACATAGATTCCATATTGCGAGAAAAAGGATAAGTGCAATTTACTGTGGGATTTTAGGTTTGGGCAATTTATATGTCAATTAAAAGAGCTCGTCGAGTTTAGTCGAATGACACCAAAATTAGTCCGCAGATTCAATTGTGGAGCTGACCAAGCTGATTTTTGGAGTAAAAAATTCGAATATGCAAATAAAATCGGTAATAGTGTCGTTTCCAGGCCCCATTTTTTCTCCCCAATTTTTTACCCTATGTTTGTACGGAATGGTCAAATTTTCCCCTTTCTTTCATCAAATTTGCCTTTCCATATTTTGCCTAAAAACAATCAAAAAGCTTGGTGTTTCTCTTGGTATTTCTCTCAACGCCCCCAATCATCCATACATCTTTCTTTGATGGTTGCCTGCCTCTTTCATATTTTCGTCTCACAACAACAGTCTTTCCATTTTTATTAATTGGGAAAATGATTCTTCTCATTACTCTAATACTTTTTTAAATATCACAAATTAATCTTTTGATTGTTTTAGGCAAAATATGGAAAGACAAATTTGATGAAAGAAAGGGGAAAATTTGACCATTCCATACAAACATAGGGTAAAAAATTGAGGAGAAAAAATGGGGCCTGGAAACGACACTATTACCATAAAATCTCATTCGAAAGGCTCTTCATGCGGCGTTGAATTTTTTCATCGAGGAAAAAAGTTTTTGCCGCTGCGTAGGAAGCTGGGCATGTCGAGCAGCGCAACGGTCATCGCGAACGAAGCTAGCTGCGACAGCAACGAAGCAGACCATTGTGTAGTGAAGATTATCATTCTACTTCGCTCGAGGAGCCATTTTGAAGGAGCTATCATTTGTATATCCCAGAATTAGCTTGCCCTCTCCCTCCTATGGTTTTTGACCATTTCGAGCCCTATATCACAGCTTAAGTTTGTTTCCGCTGACTAATTTTGGTGTCATTCGACTCAACTCGTCGAGCTCTTTCGATTGGCTATAAATTGTCAAATCTGAAATCCCGGAAAGTGCACTCAGTCCGAGAAAAATATAATTTACACTATGGGTTATTCCTGAATTTGTGCTACACTAGTTTTTGGCGTATAGGGTGTCGATGTAAATAATTATCCCTTACATTTAGTGAACAGTCCTGGTTCGACGGCTGGTGGAGTTCGTGATCCTTCTTTGGCGGCTTCAAGTAAATTGCGAAAAGTTTCGACTACTGCTGTGTCATCAAATGTATTTACTTTAATCTATATAAATTTGCTTTCTCCCTTTTTTTAGAATGAAAAAGGACAGGAAGTTGTTTCAAAGACCAGTAATAAGCAAGTGGTTGCTTCTGATGAAGGCGCAGCTGGTACAAGCACAGGGTCGAGACGTCCAGCTCGTGAACTCTCTGCTCTTATTCAACCATTCCCTGAGAGGGCTGCCATTTCTGAGGAGCGTCTTACTCGTTCTAAATCAAAAGCTTTGGTATTTTTTGAATATTTATGTCCCATATTAAGGAGGTTTATTCAAATTTCTTTAAATACTTTAGCAGAAAGCAATTGCCAATGAGGGAAGTTCTTCTTCAAACACTTCGAAGGTTGGAAAATCTGATCTAGCTGCTTCGCAGAATGCAGCCTCTTCATCGAACACAACTGGAAGGTTTGTATTCATATTTGAATTTATTCAAAGTTTATTTTAGTCATTCCGCGACTGAGAAGACGAAAACTAACGAAGCTTCAACAACTTCAAAATCGGTTCAATCGGGGTGGGTTAAATTTTTTGATTTTATTTCTTTTCAATATTCACTTAACCTGCGTGCTTAATACTTTGCGCGCATTCATAAAAAATATTTGCGTTGCTTTAGCGTTCTTGTGGCTGCGGCCGCTGCTGCTGTTCACAATCCTGTATCATCCGAAGCCTTTGTCGCTGCAGCCGCAGCTTTTGAAAATCGGTCACCTCGTTTTGCCTCTTTGTTGCACCAACAGGAACAGATAACAACCTCAACAATTCTTCCTTCATCTTTTTTAACAAACACTTCAAATGCCTTGGCGTCTTCTGCATTGTTTGAAAATGTAAGGAATTATATAATGTAGAGTTCTTATATCGTTTTATAACTTACTCACCCATTGGATTTTAATTTGACTTTGTATCAGGGCTGATCGAAATAAAAAGAAAAAAATTCCAGTCGTTGGATTTGTATTTTGTTCCATCCGATAATTTAGTTTATCTTGCTTTGAAAGAAGTAAAATTTTCTGTTTCCTTTCGAAACGAAACTGGAAACTATATTTTGATCAGCCTTGCCTCAGATTGAAATGAGGACTCTCTCGATTGCATCTTGTTTACTTCTATTTATTTATGAACTGACAGTATTCCTTTTTTTAATTTTCTAACTTCAGAAAATACCACAAATTGTCAATACTTCGAATTTGGGATTACCTAGTAGCAGTTCCAACAACAATTTAAATAGTTATAACTTTTCACCATTAATGACCAGTTCATTACCATCCACAGTGGCAGCTGCTGTACATCAGCAAAGTATTATTGCCAGCACTACAATTGCTGCTAGTGATTTTGCTGTTTCATTTGCTTCACAATTGGCAGCTGCTGCGGCTGTGGTTGGAGGGGTGGCAACTTCCACGGTTCGAACTGATTCAGCTGATGCGGGTTCGCAAATTACTTTAATTTTTTGAGCTGACTTTTCCCTTACTAATGTAGCTTGGAGTGCTTTATACTGCGTCGTTCGCAAAAATTACGCTCCAATCCTTTTAGTGCCTATTAATATTGTAGAATTGAGCTCGGAAGTTTTATTCCATAATATATTAGTTTACTGAATAAGTATAAGTTATGTAATTTTCACTTTGCATTCGTATATTGTGCTTTTCTTTTCAAACAATTTTTAAACTTTTTGTAGTCACAGTCGATTCTTCAGCTTCGACAACCACAAGTTGCGATATGCAGCATATAGGGTTTACTTCATCCATTAATAACAACAGTGTTGATAATAGCGGTAATGGCTGTCCAATGGAGGTTGAACAACCTGTTGGAACATCACCATTAGTAACTACAATATCCCCATCACTTATTGGCATAAATAGATCATCACTTGATGATATTTCTATTGGTTCACAGCCCAGCCATGCACAGAATCAAAGCAGGGCGGTTGCAGCCGCAATGCTTGGAGCAAAGTGTGTCTCTTTGAGCAAAGCATTTGAACTAAACAGAATTAAAATTATGAAAGCAATTCAGCCAAACTCTTTTCTTTGCTTGCGTTTCTTTACTATCTTTATCTTTTCTGTTCATAATTATTAAAAGAATTCATTTTTGGTTAACTTTTCTGCAGGTGAACCAAAAACATTTTGTAAATTTAGCAAATTCTCAAATAATAAGTGCCTTTTCTTATACTTGCGCGATAAAATTTTTAAATTTTGGTTTACCTGCTTTGTCTATTCTTCTTTATGCATTTAATATAATCAATTTTAAGGTCTCAACGTGCTGCTGGATTTCTTAGCACCATCGTGCCTCGTATGCAGCATCTATTAAACTCAACTACAAATTCTACAACAGGTACTGGTAGCGCTGCTGCACGTGCAGGATATCTTGATTCAATTGTTGACGCTTCTTACAGCTATTCGCGTCACCACCATGCGACAAGTAAAATTTTTTACTATGATTACTTGTCGCATGATGCTGCTTTTTTTGAATTAATAATTTAAATACCTCCATTTAAGCTCCGGCCATGCTTTCGATCGTTGAGGGTCTCAAATCTTCCAATGAAATTCGTCAATCAGAAGCGGCATCTGAGTTAGCAGAGATGCTATTGCTAGGAAATGAAGAGAGCCTTCCAAATATGCCAATTGTTGAGATTGTCCAAGCTCTGTGTGGACTCCTCCAAAAGGACGATAATTTTGAATTGGTTAAAAATATTTTTTTTTCTAAATAATCCTTGCATTTTCAGATGCTTACTGCTGCTCGCTGTATCACAAATATGCAGGAAGCGGTATTTTTCTATATACCTAAATTTCTGTTTTTTATTCATTACTTTTCCCAGCTTCCGCGAGCTCTTCCAGCAATCGTTGAGACAATTCCTTTGCTTTTGGCGAAACTTAAGCGTATCGAATACATTGATGTGGCCGAGCAGTCTTTAATTGCACTTGAAGTTATGTCGCGTCGTAATGGCAAACAAATTCTTTTGCAGGTGAATTTAAATATAATCGGGGACTATTATTGTTCTTCATTATTTTCAATCTATTCATAGGGAGGCATTACATCAGCAATTTCTCATGTCGACTTCTTTTCTTTGCCTTCACAACGTCTTTGTTACCAGATATGGTCTTATTTCTCACATTTCTATCATATTTTATTCCTTTTAGCGCAAATTGTGCGTTAAATGTTTCTCAGAATGAATTTCATCTTGTTAAGGATTGTTTGCCTGATTTGACTCAGAGATTAGTTTATGTTGATGTATGTTTTTATTTTGATTTTCTAGCAATTGTTCTAAATTTAAGGATAAGCGTTGTGTTGAATCGATCTGTACATTTTTCAACAGAATTATTGAAAATATGCGACAAAATGCTGACCGTCTTCGTCAAATCACTGGTACTAGCTATGAATTTCTTCAAAATGTTCAAAAGATGTTGGCTATACAACCATCCAATATAACTCCTGGCATTTATTTGTCTCTTATCAAATCAATTCGTTATATTGTTTCGCAGTATGTTTGATTAATCTAGATTAAGTTTTTCTGATATTTTTAGATGTTCTGATGCTGCATTAGCGCTTGTTCGAATGGATTTTGGCAACACAATTAGAGCGTTGATTGGACCTGATCGGACTGAAAGCCCTTCAACTCCCAGTGCATCATCCGGTGATTTGGGAGAGCGAATTAATAATGGTATTAATTCGCGTCCTTCAGTTCAAATTAAGGAGATTATTACATTAATTGGGTTTTTTAATTTGTAATTTATTTATATTTAAAATTATTTAGTCAACTAGTCGAAAATCTGCCCCGTGGTGGAGAAGAAGTTGTTTCTTTATTACATCTTATACCACTTCTAGTCGACATTGGAAGCAATTCAACTTGTTCTCAATTACGTAATGAATCTCTAAATGTGATGAGTTCTATTGTTAAAATGGTCGATAAAGTTGACACTTTGGAGCCAATTCTACGTATTTTTTTGTATAATTATAGAATTATTTTAAAAAATTTAGGTGACATCCCATTGGCTGTTTTTATTACTCAAATGTTGAGTTCTAATCGGAATCTTGGGACACTGCTTTCTAGTCTTCAACTGTCGAGAGTCTTGCTTGATAAACTTCCACAATTGTATATTCCATTGTTTGAGGCTGAAGGTTATATTTAATTTAAATTTTAATCAAAATCATTTTATAGGCGTATTTCATGAAACTCGACGTCTTATGCTACCTATTGAGGCACCAACCATTGATAGAAAGCCTAATTACTCTCGTAGTTCGATGGCAGAACATTTATTGGAAGGATTGGTAAATTCCCACAGCGGCGGCGATACTGGGGTTCGCGTAATAATTCCACCTATTTCAATGCATCAAGATCGCGATAACAATCATAGCCATCAACAAAATTTGCAGCAACAGGTTTTTTTGTTTTAACACCATAAATCTCTATTTTTTAGCAAGACCTTGTATGTAAAGAAGCAAAACAAATTGCTGATAAATTTGCAACTGATTATGCTGCTCGTAAATTCAGCATCAAAGAACCTCATCGTGCTCGAAAGTTATTTGACAAACTCAATGCTTTAGCCAATAAGCTACGCAGTAATAAGGATTATGGTGCTGAACCTTTGATGGATTTAAAGAATTTACTTCTCGAACAAGATATTACCTCATTCCAATTTAATCAAAGTGGGATTCCTGATGCATTAATCAGTTATTTATGTAATGTCTCAGGCACGTCGCAACTACGTTAGTCTTTATAAGTTAATTTTAATTTTTGATCTTTTAGGCGGTATTCGTTTAAAGCATTTTGCTTCGGTTTTCATGGGATTGAACGTATGATCTATTTTGCTGTTTTCAATTTAAATAGTGATATTTTAGGAAGATTCATTGCATGCTGACTCAATTGGTGCTGATAATAAACGCCGTTACCCGTTTGAGTTATTGGTTACAAAACTTACAAACACAATTGGCACTATGGAGCAATTCCAAGGTGGGGTTTACTGATACATATTTATTAAAGATATAATCTTTAAGTTCGTGTCACCAATCTTTCTGGAATTTTTACAAACGGTAGTGGCTCTTCGTCACTGGCACAATATCAGTCTGCTTTGTTGGGTGGCGGGGCTGGCGGTTCACTGTTTTCGACAACACTTCGTGGAGCACAGGCTTTACGATTTTTCCAGATGCATCAAATCCGTATAAATCTTCGTCGTCACGTGAGTTAAATCAGGAAGGAATTTATATTTAATCAAAAAATAGTTAGCATTTACTTTATTTTTTATTTAGCCTAAGTGCAAAAATTTGCGTGAATGGCGTCATGGGAGAGGTTCTATTAAAGTTGACCCATTTACATCAATCTCTTCCATTGAAAGGTTACAAAGTGTTTTTTAAATTCGAATAATTATAATTAGATATTTGCTTGAGCGTGGTATTGGCAATATTAATGCACAACAGAGTGGGCAACAACCACAAAGTGATGATGGTGATGACGATTCTGAAATTAGCGAGGAGGATCAGGTATGGATTTTCTGGTAACTTCTCAAAAATATTACTCTAGGATATGAGTTTTTCGTCTGCTCTTTCAAATGAAGGTCGACTTGAACTCTTTATTGGTGAAAATTTGCTTCCAAATGACATCTCCATACTTCAGGTTATTTTTTAAAATGGAAATTATATTCAATAGATTTTAGGCAATTCGTCAATATACACTTCCTCGTGATGATGATACTGTCGAGACGATTCCTTCAAGTATTTGGCTTACAACTCATACAATTTACTATAACAGGTTAATAGTGAACAAATGCTTCCAAACATTTTCTTTTAGCATTCTAAATGAAAGTAATGCTGGTGAGGCTGCAACTGGCGGTACTACTTCAAAAATTACGGGGAATCAATCTAGCGAGCCTTCTCAATCTAAAACTGTTGAAGAGGCGTCAAGTGCGTCTACGCGTACTCGAAATAAGTTGGTCCCACGTGCTGTTGGATCCATTAAAAAGACGGAAAAGCCTGCATCCTCAAGTTCCGCACCTCCAAACCTCAAGGAGTCGCAAGTTTACAAAAGTGATTTTCTTTTATCTGCATATGAGAATATTAAATAATTTATATTTAACAAAAGTTTACGTAATTTTTGAAAATTTACCAATCCATAGATTGTAACCGACCTCCTCGCGAATCGCCTTTGGATCTCTATCTTCGTACTGATCTTCAACCAAAGCTTAATGATCCGTCCACGTCCTGCCTTATTTTGATGAAAATTCTTTATGGGTTAAACTCTTTCTGGTGGGAGCTATTTGAGACTCATTCTAATGGAAAACGAAATCTTCCAATTTCTCATACTCCTTTGATTTTGGCTCGGTATTTATTTTATTCATTGATTTATTATTTTATTTTTTAGATCTTTTTTCAACTCCAAGCTTAACTCTAAAGTTAGTCGACAACTTTCAGACTTTCTTACCGTTGCCACTCAACAAGTGCCAAAATGGACAATTGACTTAATGAATAATTTGTATTCTTTATATGGAATTCTTTATTTAATTCTTTTTTAGTCCTTTCATCTTCTCTTTCTCCACCCGCCGTTCTTTCTTATTTTGTACTTCCTTTGGACGTGATCGAGCATTAATGTTAGGAATTTTTTAAACTTTTATTATCAGTTATAAAATTAAAACTTCCAGGCATCTTGTCAGTGAAGTTAATAATGATGATGGTCACGAGGGTGCTTCACATGATACAAATTCGCGATTAATTCCTCGTTTAGAGCGCCGCAAAGTTTCTATTAAACGGAATGATGTACTTAAGGTTATAATTCTTTATTTTAACATGTGACAAAATATATTTTTAGGATGCGCAGCAAATTCTTACACAAATGAGCACTAGTAAGGCAATGCTCGAAGTTGGATTTGAAGGAGGTTATTTTTTAATTTGATGAACATTTCTAACTAATGTATAATATTTAGAAGTCGGAACTGGATTTGGTCCTACACTTGAATTCTATTCAACTTTAAGCCGTGCGCTGCAAAAGAGTTCACTTGGCCTTTGGGATGGTACAGTGCGCACTTGCCCTGAAGAAGAGAAAGATGGTGAATTAATTCATTTTAAAAAATTACCCATTTTAGGTTCTGGTGATGACGATTATATTTTTGCCGCCAATGGTCTATATCCAAAAATGTTAACGCGCCCATTAAGCTCAAAGCAGAATGAATTACGTTTGAAACGATTTGAGTTTATTGGTCGTCTTCTTGGTCAAGCTCTTATTGACAGTCGAATGGTAATTTTATAAATATTAATTTGTGCGATAATTACTGATTTTTAGTTGGATTTACCACTCTCTCCAGCTTTTTTCAAGTGGTTGATTGGTGAGGAGGAATCTCTCGGGACCGAAGACTTTGAGAAACTTGAGCCGACAATCTTCCGCTCGTTACGTGATATATTGCAGACAGAGGAAGAGAAAGATTTTGAGAGCTTAGATGTGGTCAGTTTGATTTTTTTAATGTTTATATTTTAATTATGCTAATGTCAGTATTTTATCTATCCTGGCGAACCATCTATGGAATTGTGCAAAGGTGGAAAGAATTTGGCTGTCTCAAAAGACAATTGCAAACAATTTTTAGAGGTTTGTGTTAAAGAATTCGGGTAATGAAATAATATTTAGCTTGTTTGTTACTGGCGACTTATTGAGGGTGTTCGTTCTGAAATGGAGGCTGTTCGTCGAGGATTTCGCTTAGTAATTAATAAAGATTCGTTGCGCATTTTCTCTTCAGATGAGATGGAGTTGCTATTTTGTGAGGATTATTTTGCGATAAAACGAATATTTATAATCTTTTTTAGGCGGAAGTGCAGAGAATGATGAAAGGATTTGGACTAACTCTGCACTCCAACATGCTTTACGTCCGGTTAATTTTAAAATTAAATAGTTTGACTTGTTTATTTATTTCTATGCTAATTCAGGACCATGGCTACAATTATGATTCGGCACAAATTAAGTGGCTAATTACGATGTTGTGTTCGTATAAACATGATAAGGTAAATTCATTATATAAAATAGAAATGGCTCTCCAGATTTCTAAAATTTTTTGGTAACTGTAACTAATAAAATAAATTTAGCGCCGACGTTTCTTGCAATTTGTCACTGGCTCTCCAAGGTTGCCTATCGGCGGATTTCGTGGTTTAAATCCTCCACTTACTGTTGTTAAAAAGACAGCTACCTGTGTGAAAAATGAGGAGGAACTGCCATCTGCAATGACTTGCTATAATTACTTGAAAGTGAATTATTTTCTAAATTTTTAACTTTAACTTATTTCCAGATTCCGCCATATGAAACTTACGAGACATTTGTGTCAAGATTTGGTTTATTTCTTTTTTTAATTTTTTTAAATTCTTATTTTAGACATCGCTCTTCAACATGTCTATAGCTTCTATCTCACATAATTTACTTACTTGAAGACTGAATAAGGGAAAATTTGTAAAATTAGCGAATTATATTGGATATATTTTTGTCTTTTCGGCGTGACTTTCTCTCCAATAAATAATTCCTCCATCGTGCGATATAAATTTATTTTCTTCTAAATATATAAAGTTTTATTATAAATAGTGTTCGGCAAATGCCCTTTTCCGGTATTCGGTATCGGTATACCGAAAAAATACCGATACCGAAAAATACCGTTTTTTACAAAAATTGACCGGTACGGTATCGGTATACCGGAAAAATACCGATACCGGAAAATACCGTCTCAACATTTTCGGTATACCGGCCGGTATTCGGTATTTTTTTAAAAATTTTATAAAATTTTTTAAATTCTATTTTTAAAATTTTAACAATAAATCTTGACAATCTCAAGGACTTGAGCTTCTTCTAATCGATCATAGTCTAGATTTGAATCAGCAAAATGTCCAACAATTGCTCGACATTTAGCTAATTGAAAAATACAATGCCCCCTCCATTAGAATACCCTGCTTTAATAGTATGTCCCCTGGAGGATGATTGAAAATTACTATGCCCCCACCATTAGAATACTCTCCTTTAATAGAATGCCCCAGAAGATATCTTCCTTTTTCAGCGCCGCAGGCGAAAATTTTGAGAATTTTGGAAGACCAGAAGACAGATTTCTTCCTTTTTCAGCGCCGCAGGCGAAAATTTTGAGAATTTCACAAATACCGAAATACCGGAAAATACCGCGGTATTTTTTCGAGGACCGGTACGGTATCGGTATCGGTATACCGAAAAAATACCGATACCGAAAAATACCGTTTTTTTCAAAATTTGACCGGTACGGTATCGGTATCGGTATACCGGGAAAAAATACCGCGGTATACCGTACCGTGCCGAACACTAATTATAAAGCTATAAACGATGGTCTGTTAGAATTTGCTTAAAATTATCATTGCTTTGTAATGAATCCTTATTTTAAATTCAATTGTATTCACATACTTTAAAGTGTATAAAGTGAAAACTTTTAATTTGTTTTGAGTTTTAATTGAACATTCGGCATTAAAGCCAAATTTTAAGTTTCTTAATTTTTCCTGAACCTTGGATATTTGAATAATTTAGAATTCAACATGGTTCTTTCAATTTGTTTGAAATCAAAAAATGCTTTCATAAGTATAATTAATGTTTGGGGTTTCAGACAAATTAATTTAATTACAGGTCATGATTTTGCTTTAAAATTTTGTCGTTACTTTTCTGCGGCTCCCCCAGCAAAAACCTCATATGGCGGATTGAAAGATGAAGATAGAATCTTTACAAATCTCTATGGAAAGTATGTTTGATGTGAATTGATACAGATAAAATTACTTATTTTAGGCATGATTATCGTTTGAAAGCTGCGATGAGTCGGGTAAACAAAAGGTTTAATTTAATCTTTTTAAATTTTAGGGTGACTGGTACAAAACGAAGGAGATAATTCTCAAGGGTCCGAAATGGATTATTGGTGAAGTCACCACATCTGGCCTTCGTGGTCGTGGTGGGGCTGGATTTCCAAGTGGAATGAAATGGGGATTTATGCTTAAACCTTTTGATGGGCGGCCAAAATATTTGGTAGTGAATGCGGATGAAGGCGAGCCGGGGACGTGCAAGGACAGGCAAGGATATTTTGAATAATTTTTATTAAAGTAGCAGACTTTTAATGGGAAAGAAGGCTGTTGACCTTTTTAATGGGAAAGATAAAATGCATTCGGAACACAAAAGTGACGTCAATGATTTAGCATCTTTATTAGGTCACCTGAACTTTTTTCTGTATATGTTAGCTAACTCATTCGGTTATTTGAGCAGACATTACGAACCGCCTGCACTTTATCTCTCCTACTTATTTCTTTCCTAATAAAATAACTTTCATTGTTAACTATATTTGTTAAGAATTATAATTATTTTTCATATTTTTCAGGGAAATAATGGTGCGTAGAAATTGTAAGGAACTATCTTTATTTAAAAATATTTAGCGCCATGATCCACACAAACTGATTGAAGGCTGTTTGATAGCTGGAGTTGCGATGGGTGCTCGAGCTGCTTATATTTATATTAGAGGAGAATTTTACAATGAAGCATGTGTTTTACAGGAAGCTATACATGAGGCTTATAAGGTTATTTATGTAAAGACTAAAGTGTTTTTAATATTAAATTTTAGGCTGGTTTTATTGGAAAGGACTGTTTTGGCACTGGTTACAACTTTGATATTTTTGTTTGTTTTTATAAATTATTGAAAATATAATTTTGAAATGTAGTTTTCTGATATAGGTTCTCTCATAAGTTTACCACTACATCGTTTTTTTCAAATTAAAAGTGTCATAGGTGTATATATTTGACATTATTAATTTATAAATCCTTTTAGTAATGAATCTTAAAAATTTATTTTTTTACAGGTTTATAGAGGAGCTGGAGCCTATATTTGTGGTGAAGAGACGGTAAATTTATTTTTGGAGGTCTTCTAATGGTTTTTATTTTAGGCTTTAATTGAATCCTTGGAAGGAAAGCAGGGAAAGCCTAGACTTAAACCTCCATTTCCTGCAGATATTGGAGTTTTTGGTAATGAATTTTCTATTTTTTTTATTTTGTTTTTAATTTTTAGGTTGTCCTACAACCGTTACCAATGTACTTTTATTTTTAAAAGTTTTAAAAAATAAAATTTATTTTTTATGTTGAAACTATTGCTGTTGCTCCAACAATTTGTCGTCGTGGCGGTAATTGGTTTGCAAGTTTTGGCAGAGAAAGGAATCGAGGAACTAAAGTATTTTAATTTAAAAATTATTTTTTAAATTTGTACTTTAAGCTTTTTTGTATTTCTGGTCATGTAAATGAACCGACAACAGTCGAAGAAGAAATGTCTATTCCTTTGCGCGATTTAATTGAAAGACATGCTGGCGGGGTTATTGGTGGATGGGATAATTTATTAGGTATAATTCCTGGTGGATCTTCTGTTCCTGTTATTCCTAAGAGGTTTAAAATTTTAAAAATTTTAAAATTTTATTTTTTAAGCATTTGTGATGATGTTCTAATGGATTTTGATGCTCTTATTAAGGTTGAGTCTGGATTGGGGACTGCGGCCGTTATTGTTATGAATAAGCAGGTATTTCTGTTTGAACTCATTTCAATAAAAAATATTACATATTATTAATGCACCCAATGTTATTTAAAAACTGACTGACGTTAACTGATAGGTACAGTCGGACTTAACCTAGTACATATGTGTACCCCAAAAAATTTGTACACGCACTTTATTGAACGTTTTTAAGTCTGATAATAGGATTATAAACGATGCCCCGCTTTACTGCATCTCTTATACGATTCTTCCAGACATAAGGACGTATGCTTAATGTTAGGTAGTCCGATTCTACTTAATACATATGGATATATCCTTCAATCGTATCTCTCATTTACCTTGATATATTAATAAGTATCTGGGATCATGTTAATCCAATTACCGAACATAGGAAATAAATTTTTTGATCATTGTAATAAAATCATTTTCTTAATTTTTAAAACAAATTTTTCAGTGTGATATTGTAAAATGTATTGCACGTTTAAGTATGTTCTATAAACATGAATCGTGTGGACAGGTGTTTATATTTTTGGTTTCAGCTAATTTTTATTTTAAGTGTACACCTTGTCGTGAAGGTTGCAATTGGCTTAATAAAATAATGTAGGGAAATTAAATAAATAATTTAAATATTAATTATTTCCTATTTAAGGTGGCGTTTTGTGCAAGTAAATTTAATTAAATTTATTTTTAAATAATATAAATAAATTCATTTCCAAAGGGAAAAGCTGACCCAAAAGAAATTGATATGATATGGGAATTGACTAAACAAATTGAAGGTCATACAATTTGTGCTTTGGGTGATGCAGCTGCTTGGCCTGTACAAGTAAGTGATTAAAATTAAGAAAAAATATTTTTAAATATAAGAATTGTAATTTAATATCTAATTAAATTTAATGTTAAAAAAACTAAAAATATTTTAATTCATTTCAGGGGTTAATCCGGCATTTTAGACCTGGTAGGAATTTATTTCAACTTAATACATATATTAAATTCATAAATTATATTAGAATTGGAACGACGTATGGCAGAATATTCTAAAAAGAATCCAATGATTCGGTTGAGAAAAACGGTAAATAATAATTGTTGAAATATTTAAATCAAGTATTTTAAGGTTGTAACAATGTGAGTAAAATTAGGAATTAATTACCTTTACCTTTATAGTAGAATATTGTTAAATATTTTTTTGTATATTATAAAATTGATTGATTTTAAAAATAAAAATATTTTTGGATTTTCTTATGAAAATATTTTTTAAAATCCCCTTTTTTATGTCAAAATTATATTTATTTTACCTTCCCTAACTACTTAAATTAAAAAATAATAATAACACACCTGCTTTTTCCAATATTTTCTTTAGTCATTTGGATTATACTTTTTGTCCATTTCTTATTTAATTATCCAATTGCTTTCAATACCAAAAGTTAATTTCCTGCTCTTTTTGAAGACAAAGGATAATCTTTTTTCTTTAGTTTTAAAGCTAAATATTTTTGGATTTTGTAATTAATAAATAAATAGGTAGAAAAGGAAAAAATAGGAGGATAGAAAAGCATTCCTAACCATTTTGATTGAAGAAACTAGAGATACAAGCCGGCGGATATACATAATTAGTATGTGGACATCTGCTTTTTGACATATGTACTTTGAATTAAAATTCGATTTCCGATCAAAACATTTGTTTTCCACATTTGGCTTCTTCCATGTCCTTGCTTCAAAATTCTCTATTTTTACCTTTGTAAGTAAATATTCTTCAAGAAAATCCTTTGAGATAATCCAGTTTTTTTCGACTTGTTTTAAGCCCCATTTTTTTGATGGTTTTTAGGATGGCATATTATTAGGTACATAGAGGTATTTATTATCTACATTTAAAATAAAAATCAGACAAAAATGGAGGTTCTTTTTTCTCTAATAAATATTAAATAAATAAATGGCTGTTGCCCGGTAACCATTTCTCAACAAAAAATAGATACTACTACGCAGACATGCACTAAAATAGGACTCTACCAAGACAAAATTTGCGCGAGCACCCAGAAATAACAAAATTCTTATTGCTTGTTTAATCAAAAAATTTAATAAAATTATTTTGATATTTTATTTATTTTTAGAATATTTTACATTGTAACTAGATTTCCTGTTGATTTAAAATACATGATATTATTATAGAGTAGGACTATCCGTAATTTGATCATTTATATTCGATTACCATATCTCTACTCCCTACCAGATAAAATTTTATCAATAAAACATTCAAAAATATTTTAATTTTCCCCAATAATTTTCTTTTTTGCACTTATAAAAATTAATGTTTTTTTCATTCATCAATTAATTTCTTTTATTTTTTATTGTAATAATTTTGCGCGAGCGAACAATTGGACAGTCTGAATTTTGCAAATAATTTTTTTTATTTGCTGTTTCCGCTTTTTATATACAAAAGTGATCAATAATTATGATGATTTAAAGATTATATTTTCTTTTAAATTTATTTACTAAACAAACAAAAAAAAGTAGTAAAAGATGTTTATGTTAGAGAAGTTTTTGTTAATTGAGAAGAGTAGTGGTTGTTGTATAGGCTATGAATAATGTTGTACCCCCGAACCTCGACTCGTTTTTTGATTAAACCTGACAATTGATTGAAGATATCAGGCATAACTTTTTCTTAATGAATGTACGATCAATTTTTGAAAAAGTTATGGCTATTAATATTTGTCAGTAATGTCTCCTTGGTAAATCCTCCCTCTGATATCTGAAACCGCATCAAAAATTTTCGAGGTGGATTAGTTTCGTCCTGAAATTGGGAACGACTTCTACTCAATCCCATTTTTAAAGAACTAAAAACCCCTTTAAAATTATTTACGAAATTTCTAAAAAAACTTTTTTTTTCTTTTAAATTTATTCTCATTCATCCATGTAAATACCCCTATTTTAATTAAAATTATATTTTTTATTTGCCATAAAATTCTATTTTTTATTCAAATTGCTTGCATATTTATTTTAAAATAATTTTTATTAGTGTTCCGCTTAAAAAGGGTATTTTAATAATAATAATAATACGGTTGACTTGGTGAGGGAAAAATAAATAAATTTTTGAAAAGTAAATTTTTGTTTACGAAAGAATTCTTGAACATTAAAGTTAAATTAACTTTAAAATACTTTATTTTTTTCTAAATAATATTAATAAAATATTGTTAAAATTTTTATCTCCCTCTTCGTTCCTTCGATTATTTGAGTAAAGATAATCCCCCCCCCTCTATACAAGACACAAATCCATTACCATATTGATAATATTTTCAATTATTTTACAAAATAAATTTTAAAAATTTATTTAACCTTTTATTTTAATTAATCCATCAATCAATTTAGTTAAAATTTAAATTTTTTTAAAAAAAACTTTTAAACTATTTTTTTTCTTCCCTTCAAACATATGTCATGCCATATTTTTCATAATTTTTCTTTCTAGCTTTTCATCATTTGTCAATTTTTGTCAGAATTATTAAAAAACCTTCCCCCCCCCCCCCCCCCCCCCCAAATATATCCCCCCTCCCTCCCCCCAAACACTTCATAATGTGTTAAAAATTTAAATCAATAAATAAAAAATAAAACACATGATATGTTTGGAGGGAAAGGAAGGCTTTTTAAAGGCTTCTTTTATTTTTTTAAAAAATGAAAAAGAAACCCTTTTTTTCTTTTCTTTTTTATCACGTCTGGCAAATGAAAGGCAAAAAAAGAAAAAAACAAGTTTTGTATATATTAAAAGGCGCAAAAATAAAAAGTTTTTTTTATTTTGACAAGTTTCTGTCTTTTGCCAAGAAAAATAAGGAAAAGCAAAAATTGGGAGGAGGATAAAAATAAATAAATATATTTATTTTGAAATAAATAAATACATATTTCATTTTCCTTTTTTTTAAATTTATTAAAATATTTTTTTGTATTTTTATAATTAATTTTTTTTCTTTTTTGACTTTAATTAAACCAATATTAATTATCACTTACATAATTATTCGTTTGAAAAAGTATTTAGTGTGTCTTTTAATCCTTTTCTTTTTAGATCATTAAATTAATTTACATATATTTTTTTAGTAAAATTTTTAATTAAAATATTTTTATTATTAAAAGTTTATAATATTTTTATTTATTTTTTATAAAAATTATTTACTAGAGATTAACTTAAATAAATGAACTTTTCTAATTTTTAAGCAAATGTTCAATAAACATATTCCCTTCCTTTCCTTGTTTTAATTTTTTGCTTTTATTTAATCCCGACAAAAATTTAAAAAAAGATTCAAGTTTTTTTAAATCGATTCTCTACTTCTTTTCTCTGATTTCCTCTTTTTTTAAACAATAAATTAACTAACTTTAGCCATCAAAAAGTGTTTAGTAGATAGTTGGTTGGTTGGTTGTTCTTAACTAGAAAAAAAATTAAATTTTATTTTTTAGTCGTCTCATTTTCCAAGTTTTTTTCGTAAATTTCTTAACTAAAGTAAAATTTAAAATATAATAAAGATTTTACTTAAAAATATTTTTTTGAGAATTAATTATTTTTGAAAAATTAAAAATATTTTAATTTATTTTTGACATTTTCCCAAATATATTTAATTTGGAGAAAAATAAAAGAGGGAAATTTTGGAAGAGAAAATTAAATTTTTAATTTAAATATTAAATTAAATCATAAATAAAAAATATTTATAAATTTTGGATAGCTAATAACCAAAAATTTATTTTAGTAAAAAGTAGGAAGGGGGGGGGGCGGGTTTCGTCCTCTTCCCACGCTTAATTTTTTTTTGGCTCACAATCATTCATGATAATTTATTATTTTTCTTTTTGTCTTTTTAATATAAAAACTTTTTTGATTTTTAATTAGAAATATTTAAATTTTTGGAGATTTGGAAATAAAGAGAGAGGAGTTAATATTCAAATAAATATATTTTTGTTTCTAAAATAATTTTTAAAATAAATAAAAATAATTTAAATAAGATATAAAAATTAAAAAAATTCTATTCCGTTTTTAATTTTAAGAAAAGAAATTTTATTTTAACATTTTAAGAATTGTTTCTTTTACTTTAAAGAATTTTCAAATAGAAAAAAGAAATTATTATTTTAATTCCTTTTATGAATTTATTTCCTTTTTTGAATTTTACTCAAAAAAGAATTTTAAAAACTGTTCTTTTTAAATATTTTAAAAATAATTTTAAATTAAAATTGAACAAAGTTTATTTTGGGAATTTAAATGTCCGAATCAGACCTGGGCGAAACTCAAAATTTTTTTCTGACGAAACGAAACGAAACAAAATTTTTTAAAAATCGTTTCGTTAACGAAACGAAACGAAACAACCAAAATCTTACGAAACGAAACGAAACAAAACGAAACATTTTAATATTCAAAAAATTTTCAAAACTGCATTTATTTCGAAATTATTCGACCTCAAATACGTTATTAGTCGACTATGACTTATAAATGATTTAGTTATTGGTTTATTTACAACAATTGTGTCCCATAAGCCAGGCCCGTAGCAAGGAAAATTTTCGGGGAAGGGGGGGGGGTCAATCATTTTCGAAGCCAAATTTTTGGCGACGCTTTTTTTTAAATAAAATTGAATATTTTTCAAGTAAAATTTTATTTTAAGCGCCGCAGACGAAAAATTTTAAAATTTTGAAAGGCCGTAGGCCAAAAAATTCACCATCTTGCTCCATTGCCTACCCAAATTGTCTCCATATCTCCATTTCGAGAGGAAGGCGATATAAGCTAGTGCTTCGCCGGAAGTTCCGGTTCCAGTGTAGTATATAAGTAATTGCTATCTTCCTTTTTCAGCGCCGCAGGCGAAAATTTTGACAATTTGGGAAAGCCAAGAAGCCGAAATTCTTTTTTTTTCAGCGCCGCAGGCGAAAATTTTTTAAATTTTCAATAAAAGATGGTAAATTTTATAGATTTTGGCCTTAGTTTAGGCTTAAAAAATTGTTTCGTTTCGTTGAAAAATCACAGGTGTTTCGTAACGAAACGAAACGAAACAAATTTAAAAGTGTTTCGTAACGAAACGAGACGAAACAGTAAAAATCATACGAAACATACGAAACAACGAAACGAAACGAAACGTTTCGCCCACGTCTGGTCCGAATAATTAAAAAAATTTTCTTAATAGGTGAATTTTTAAAACGGAAACAGGGCGGATTTATTCACCTGTTTTGGCTATCACAACTTTTTTAAACAAATAATTAAAATTAAAAAATTAATATTTTTCTCTAATATTTCTAATTAATTTTCCTTCCCTTCCCTAACACTAATCCTTTATTGCAAACGGATGTTTATGTGTTTTGAAGGTAAATCCTTCCTTTAGGTCCTATTTAATAATTTTTCTTCATAATATTTTTCCTAGCCATTAAATTAATTTATTTTAATTTAATTTTATTATTTTTTAGAATTTTCTTTAAAATAATTATATTTACTTCCGTCCAAATTCAAAATTTATTTCAAGGAATTTGTGGTTTTGACTACATACAGCTACTACTAAATAATTATTGCCTTTTTTTTTATTAAAAATATTTTTAAAGTGAATATTTATTTAAACAACAATATAATTTATTTGTAAGGATTAAAATTATCTTAACTGTAAATTTATTTAAAAAATAAATTATCAGTAGATTCTGTCGTTTTATGCAAGCTTTGTAACTGAAACTAAAGTACAAAAAAAGTTTAATTTAAGAAGAACATAAGGGCCCGAAATTTCCGAACAAAATTAATGTTGGACAGTTTCTCTCTTTAGGTAATGAATTTTTAAATATTCTCCTTTTTAGTACGCAGGGGAAAATGTTGAGAATTTTGGAATTTATAGTTACAAAATAATTTTAAGTAAAAAGGATTAACGTTAAAAATTTATTTTAATTTAAAGAGATTTTTAACTGTAATATATTTTTAAAATTAATTTTTTAAGAAAAATTAATGACAAGCTCTAGCGAATGTGAAATTCTACAACCTTCACAAATAATTCGAGAACGTTGGAAAATTGTAAATAAATAAATAAATTTAGGGGAATCCCTCCAATACGTCTCTTTCCAATCACACACACATTTAATCTCCAAAACCTTTTAATTTAATTAATTTAATCATTTAATCTCCAACTCCAACAATTCGGCCCAGAGAGTTTCGTATTGCGGGATTCAATTTCACATTTAAAAATTAAAAAAAATAAATTTAAGAAAAATAAAATTGGTGGTGGAGGTTTTGGAGAAATTTATGAAGCTATTGATTTACAAAACCATAATGAAAGAGTTGCTATTAAAGTAGAATCAAGCAAAGTAAGTTATAAAAATAAATATAGAAATAAATTTATGGCAAATAAATATTTTTATTAAATTTTTAGGCAACAAAACAAGTACTTAAAATGGAGGTGGCTGTACTTCGAAGACTTCAAGGCAAGTTTATCAACAACACCTGTGATGGGTATGGCTCCGGGAGCTAGCTCAGGCGAAGCTTGAGCTAAGAATTAAAAAACCCCAGAGACCCCCTAATAAACCCCCTAATACTCACCAGCACTGATTGCACAATTTTGTTTTAAGATATTTTTGACATTTATGTTAATATTTGTTTTCATTCGTTAGTTGAGGAATTCTTAAATCCCCTTATTATTCATCTAAATATTCATATTCCACAATAATTATTACCCTTTCCAATATCCAAAAAATTATTTTAGGGAAGAAGCATGCATGTAAATTTTATGGTTGTGGAAGAAACGAAAAATTTAATTATTTGGTTATGGGATTACAAGACAAAAATTTAGCTGATTTAAGAAGGTTCTTTGAAAATAATTTATTTATTTACATATTTAAATTAAAAACAGAGAATCCCCAACTCAACGTTTTTCTTGCTCAACAGCTTTACGTGTTGCTCAACATATTTTACAAGCAATTTGTGAAATACATTCAATTGGATTTTTACATAGTAAGGGAAGGGAAAGGGAGAGAGAATAAAGAGAGAGAAAATTTAAAAAATTATTAAGGAGATATTAAACCTTCAAATTTTGCTGTTGGAAGAACTTTATCTACTCAACATAATATTTATATGTTAGATTTTGGATTAGCTAGACTTTATTTAAATGCAAAAGGAGAAGTACGGACACCGAGTAATCAAATAGAAAAAAAATTAATTTTTGGAATTAAATTTTTATTTAAAAGGGTCGGCTGCTGGGTTTCGTGGAACTGTTAGATATGCAGCTATTTCTGCTCATAAAAATAAGGTGAATCTTTTTTACTCATAGAAACATTTTTAATAATAAAAGCCTAGTTTTACGAGATTAAGAAAAATAATTTTAAGTTGTAATAATATTTTGCAAAATAAGAGTCTTCTAAATATAACTATCTAAATAGTTATATATACCTGACTAAAATTCTTATTATTAGAGATAATATTTTTAATATTATTTTATAGGAAATGGGCCGTCAAGACGATTTATGGTCTCTCTTCTATATGCTTATTGAATTTTTGAATGGATCATTGCCTTGGAGAAGAATAAAGGTGCATATTTATTGCTTAATTGTTTAGTAATTTTTAAATAAAAATTAGGATAAAGATGAGGTTGGGAGAATGAAGGAAGAAGCAGATATTCGAGAATTACTTGATGGAAAGTTTGTTAAAAATACCTAATTTTGTTTTTTAAGAGAAAAATTATTTTAATAGTCCGTCAGAATTACATCATTTTGCTGAACATTTGAGTGGATTAACTTATGGGGATTTGCCTGATTATGAGCTTTTGGAGGATTGTTTGTGTGTTGCTATGAAAAGATTGGGAATTGGGGCAAATGATCCTTTTGGTAAAAAATAATAATTGAAAGTCAAAACTAGTTTTAAATATGTACTTGGAGATTGAAAAAAGCATATATTAAAGGTATCGTTTAGGCCGTTCTCCCTTCTATGTAATCTCCCTCCTATGTAGTATGTAGTTAACCAAATTTTAGAAGATTTATCTTAAATTATACATATTTAATCTTGGAGATATAAAAAATATTTATTTCAAATGTTGAAAATTATTTCCAAATTTTAGATTGGGAAAATGGTTATGCTTTTGTTTCTGATCCAAATAGTAGTAAAGCTTTGCCTTGTTCTTCTTCAGCAATTCAAGGAGATGCTCACCATAATAAACAGAAATCTAGTCAAATTGGGCGTTCATATACAACAGCTTTTCGAGAAAATTGTCCAGATGTTAATACAACAACAAATGCTGGAGGAAATAAAAATAAAGGGTTATTGGATACACAAGCGCCGATAACTGGAGATGAAGACGGGGATGAGGAACAACAAACTGGGAATTATATACAGGCACATTTAGCTTCAAATGCTTCTGGACAAATTGGAGGGGGAGAACATTCTTATGGAGATGATGGGGGAGGAAATGGAGGAGGAGGGATTAATAATAATAATAAAGAATTAAAACCAAAATATAAGAGACAAGAATTTTTAAGGTTTAAATAAATTAATTTAAATTAAATTAAATTAATTTTTTTAGACCAAAAATTAATCAAAATCTTGTTAAAATGAATCAAAAAAATTTGGGAAAATCTATTGATGCAGTTAATGAACGATTTATGAAAGTTCAAAGCAATTCACCTGTATTTCAACTAAATTAAAAAAATAATTTTCTCTTCATTTTTTAAGGTCCCAATAGGCAAAAGATATCAAAATGGAAGTAAAATATCGGCAACAACAATTAACGGACCTGCACCCCTTTCTTCAATGTCTAATGTTTCTAGAAGTGATGAAAATAAATTAATATTATTACCGGAAAGAAGGGCAGAAAGTATGCAGCCACAAACATTAAATGTTGGGGGAAATTGTGAGAGAGAATTGTCTTGTTATTTGTTAATGTCCTTATATTTTTTAAGCTGGCATTTCTTCCCCTGAAAAACCTCCAACAATAACAAGAGATATGTATACATCATTACAGAGAATCCCAACTCCATCAGCCCCAGTATCTAAAGCAGGAACACCAACAACTGATCAACACCAACAAATAAATAATCCATCTAAATCAACATCTACACCTACTTTACGTCAGAGAAATGGTTCTTTTGAAGCTGGAATAAATAATTATAGAAAAGGAGGTGAATAAGATATTTATTTTGATTTATTTTCGCTTAATATATTGTTACTAGGGTAGGCGTTTCCTGGGGATATCTTCGTATATCCGGCATTTTTTAATTAAAAATCGGTATTTGAATATCTTCTCAGATTCTTCCAATATTTTCTACTATTCCTCCCTTAATTCACAGAAATATAAAAAATATTTTTAATTATTTAAAGAAAATGGAAATAGTCGTGAACGTTTAAATAAATATGCGGCAGCAGGCTCCCCAGCAATTTATCAACAACAAGACGAACATTTGAGACAAAAACAGAAAAAAATAGAAAAATCAGCCCAAAGACAATTATCTCCTCAAAAATATTCTGTTAATAAAGCAATGATTAATTCTGTTGTTGTTGGGGATGGAAAGGAACAAAGAAGGGAAAGAAGAAGTAGTAGGGATGAATTAATTGGGAGTGGTGTTAATTTAATATCTCATTTCAAAAATTTGGTTAATGTAAGTTGTTAATTAATTTGGAATAATTCTACTTTCGATTTGAAGTCTAAATAATTTAAAAAAAATATTTTTTATTTATTAACAAATGGGGTAATTACCCCATTTGTAATACCCCATTTAATTACCCCATAAATAGGAATAGGGTTGTCGGTTCTGGACCGAACCATATCGAAGAACCGAGGATTTTTCGGTTCGGTTCTTCGGTTCGGTTTCGGATATCCGAGGAATTTTCAGGAACCGACAACCCTATATAGGAATAATGACAGGCTCTTTTTTTAAAGCCTATTATTATAATTTACATAGGAAAGTCATTTCCTTCTGACAATTTTTTTTTGCAAAACAGGGATATTGATGAATGTATTACCAAAAATATTTTTAAATTATTAAAATAATTTATTAAAATTTTCAGAGTTTTAATTCGTTGAATATAGCCAATCGTTCTGGGAGTGGTGGCCGTTCAAAATCTTTATCTTCTCGTGGTTTTGGCGGAGATAAACATAAATTAAGCAATCCAACACCTACACCCCCAACAATATTGAAACCTTCAGATAGTCGAAGTAGTCGAAAAGGAAGTTCAAAACTTAGTGCTCCAAGTAGTAAAGGAAATAATGAAGATACTTCTGCTACTTCTGGTTATTATTTAAATTTTAAAAATTGTGGTTTAAAGAATGGCATAAACAGACAGATAAATTAAAAAATAAAAATTAATTTTTTTAAGGTATTGGAAGTGCATCCCCAACAATTAGACATAAATCACGTGAAAGAATAACAACAACAACAAAAAAAAATAATTTAAAAGATAATAATCAAAGAGAATATCATCAACAACAACAACAACAAAAACACAAAAGTGTGGACAGTCGAAGATCCTTAAATGAATTAAATAATAATTCAAATAACCAAACAATTTTATTAGAACAATATACAAAAGAACTTTTAAAAGTTGGACAACAACAAAGAAGAGAAGGACAACAACAGAGACAGCAACAACAACAATTTTTATTAAAACATAATGGAAGATATTTGGGAAATCTTTAAATAATAAATAGAGGTATTTAGAGATTAAATATTTAATAAAATATTTTTAATTTTCAGTTGTTAATCATTCTCCATTGCGTAAAATACATAGAAGCATTTTTACAATTTAAAGCTCACAATTACATAAGTTAAAAAAATCTCTTGATATTTAAAAAAGCTCACAATTTGCAATTTTTTAAATTTCATTTTTATGTAATATTATTTTGTTCATTTTAGTTCCCTATTTTCTTTTTACTTAATAAAAAAATATATTTATCAGGAAAATTTTTTTTTTCAGAAAATTCAATTTTTCTTTAGGGTTTTAGGTTCCGTGTCATTTCTTATGTCCGAGATCTAAGGCCAATGGGTCTGAAATAATCTGTTTCCTTATTTAAATTCTAGATATTTATGGTTGATTTTCTGAAATTCCAGAAAAAATTACCTATTCAAAATTTACATGTTTAATGGAATAAAATGTTTTTTTTCATGTAGAATTCAGAAAATGCAATTTTAGTTTAAATTCAAGAACCGTAGCTTAGCCATAAAGCAGGATTCAATATAAAATCACAACTTGTTAATTTTAGTTTTCTTTTATGTTCTATAAAGTCTGCAAGTTTTATCCTTTATTCACACTTGGCAGAAGATTAAATTAGAGGCATAAAATCAACAATCTTTTCCCGTTTTTACCGTGCTTAGCCATTGATTTACAAAATTTAAATCAATGCCCAGAGTACACCGCGAGGAGGTACACAGTTGTAAACGGGCAAACCCTGTACTCCACCACTCCCGTAGGACTAGGTTGCCCAAGCCCGAAGCAGGCAGTGGCTAGCGACCTACTCAACCAAGACGACAATTGCAACAATTGTAGCAATGGTTGTAAGAAGCGGGTTAGGTTCAACTAGGTTGCCCAAGCCCGAAGCAGGCAGTGGCTAGTTTAGCCTAACCTAGCCGGGTAATAGCTAGGTTGCCCAAGCCCTGAGCAGGCAGTGGCTAACAATACCCAGCCCTTTGGTTAAGGAAACACCGTCTGCACAATGTGTCGACTAATGAATACAACTTAACACAAAGGGGTCACGTAGCGCAATAGTTAACGTAGACATAGCTAGGTTGACCGAGCCCGGAGCAGCCAGTGGCTAGCTAGAACTACGCAACTACTGCTATTAAATTAGGTTGCCCATGCCCGGAGCAGGCAGTGGCTAACTTAACCGTCTGACCGACTAAGGTGACTTTAGTGGGCGCTTTTATACTAACACTGTCAGTGGAATTGGGACACGCCCATATTGTCGCGGGCCACTTTGTCGCGACCACTTTGTCGCAGTCCCACTTTGTCGCAGGCTTTCCTTTGATTTTTATTTTAAAATTGGCCTAAATTTTGCTCGCCACGTGCCGTACTTCATCCCACGGCTACAACGATGGGAAATCTGAAAAGTTTTTTTTGTTTTTTAAGTTTTTATTTTTTTTTTAAATCTAATTGATTTCCATCTGTTTCTGACTGCCATTTTCGAGTTTGCAGTTTCCGAAGGAACGAAGGTGTTGAAAAACCAAACCAGATTACTCTAGAAAACCCTGTTGTGCCCAGAAGGCCCTTTTCCTACCCTCCATAGCAGCATAAAATTTTTTTAACTAAAAAACCTTTGCGACAAAGTGGTCGCGACAATGTGGCCTGCGACAAAGTGGGCCGTACCCAGTGGCGAAATGTTTGGAATTGGCGAATGTTGGCGAAATGTTTGACTCTACTATCTCTCGCTGTTTTCTTTCGATACTTTTATTTGTTGATTTTAATTATCGGATTTGTTGATTTATTTTTAACTTTTTTCATATAAATTTTAGAAAGTGTAATCAAAATGACTGAGCAAACAGAACGAGCTTTCCAGAAACAACCTACTGTTTTTCTTAACGACAAATTTCGGACGCAAGGAATTGGCAAAAAGCCGAAAAATAAGGATCGTTATTGGAAGAATGTTGGGTTAGGATTTAAAACTCCACGCGAGGTTTTGTATTTTTTTCTTGTCTAACAAATAATTTTTAAAACTTTTTAAAGGCTATTGAAGGCAATTATATTGACAAAAAGTGTCCTTTCACTGGAAATGTTTCAATTCGTGGCCGTATTTTGACTGGTGTTGTTATCAAGAACAAAATGCAGCGCACGATTGTCATTCGGCGTGATTATTTGCACTTTGTTCCGAAATATCGTCGCTACGAGAAACGTCACAAAAACATGTCCGTTCAC